ACTCAAGTAACCGGTTCCCACAACATTTGAATTAAAAGATAAACTGAATTGACTGTTTCCAAATGAACAAGAATAACCTGATTTGTCCAATACAGAAACAGAAACCAAATTCCGTCTAAAAGACGGTACTACAAAAGTATCTTTTAAATCCAAATAATAACCAGTTCCTAACAACAACCTAAAGTGCCCAATTGCTTCCACATCTACCGATTGTCCGTCGCCCACAAAGATGTGTCTTTCAACATCACTTGGCTTTCGGTAGCTCAGGCAACCCTGCATAGAAACACTTATGTGAGTAGTAGCACCAGAGTCTAACCACCAAGTGTTTCTAGGTACTGAAGCTAAATTAACCTCAGAACAGACCAAAGCAAGGAACGTACCCTTATTATCACGCCAGGCGTGATATTTTGTACAGTCCTTCTTTACATGTCCAGGCTTCTTACAGAAGAAACAACCCTGATTATCCTTATGTTGTTTCTTCTCAACTGGACCCTTAGCAGCTTCCTTATCATTCTTCCTTTTCTTGCCCTTATCCTTAGAGGCATAGGCCAAATGAGCACTTTCTGTCTTATCTTGCTTCAACCTGTCTTCTTCTTGCACACAGTATGAAATGAGCTCATTTAGAGTCCATTTCTCCTTTTGACAGTTATAACTGACCTTAAATTGGTTAAACTGTGCAGGAAGAGACAACAAAACCAGATGCACTAATAACTCGTCACAAAGATCGAGTTTAAGTGCCTTAAGCTTTGAAGCAATATGAGACATTTCCATAATGTACTCCCTGATATTTCCTTTGCCCTTATACTTCATTGAAATCAAGCGAGCTAAAAGCGTGCTTGTTTCTACCTTATCGTTTTTCGCAAAACGCTTCTCAATTTCGGCAAGGAAATCTTTAGCCTTAGTAATCCCTTCGGATTCTATGCCCCTGAAGGCTTCCGGAACGCCGCGCTTAATGATCATAAGACTCATGCGATTTGAACGCTCCCACTTCTCATGCTCCTTCTTTGCATCAGGAGTGCTATCCGCATTGAGAGGTTGGGGTTGTTCAGTTCTTAATGCATAGTCAAGATCCATGCAGCCAAGAACAATTAATATGTTCTCTTTCCAAACCTTGAAGTTTGTCCCATTTAGCATGGGAATTGAGTTGATGTTAGCAGAAATTGTTGCAGCAGATGCATTAGCTGAAATAAAACAAAAATGCTCACATCAATAACCATAATCAATAAAATTCAAATAATGACAATCCCCATCCAAGATACCGGCACAACATTAATATCAAGTCTTTGGACAGTAATATTAACTTGTAAGTGATACCTTGTTGCAATGATCAAACATTGACAATAACTCATGTCAAATAATGAAACTATCTTTGGATCGATTCATTATTCACATGTAAACCTTATAATTGTCACACGCTTATCATCGCAGATGTGTATACAGTCTAAATAAATATTAACCTTCCTTTGGGCCGATTAAATATTTACACGAAAGCATACACACAAACATCTCACATTCCTCATGAACAATCTACACAAGAGAGGTTACTTTGGCAACTTCTTGTTTCAATTAATCAATTGGAGTGAGAGACAACCTTAATACCTTAGTGTCATAATATTTGAATTAAATAATTGATTAAAAACCAAATTAGATTTAAATTAAAAAGTTTTAATTTAAATCAACTGAATTTCCAAAAACTTAATTGGGGTCTCACAGCTTAATTAGGGCCCATAACTTAATTGAATAAATTAAGTATACCAAAGTGGACCCATGAAAAGCCGAGGCTTAACCATAATGAACACGAAGTTCCCTTAACTTCGAACGCGAGGTTCGACTGTATTGAGTACGAGACTCACTTAAGCACGAACGCGAGGTTCGTCTGAAAATGAACGAACGCGAGGTTCGTTTGATAAAAGAACGCGAGGTTCAACTTGGGAACGAACGCGAGGTTCGTTTAAAAAATGAACGCGAGGTTCGACTGAAGTACGAACGCGAGGTTCGTCTGAAGTACGAACGCGAGGTTCGTCTGAAGTTCGAACACGAGGCTCGACTGAAGCACGAACGCGAGGTTCGTCTGAAGCACGAACGCGAGGCTCGACTGAAGTACGAACGCGAGGCTCGACTGAAGTACGAACGCGAGGTTCGTCTGAAGTACGAACGCGAGGTTCGTCTGAAGTACGAACGCGAGGTTCGTCTGAAGTACGAACGCGAGGTTCGTCTGAAGTTCGAACGCGAGGTTCGTCTGAAGTACGAACGCGAGGTTCGTCTGAAGTACGAACGCGAGGTTCGTCTGAAGTACGAACGCGAGGTTCGTCTGAAGTACGAACGCGAGGTTCGTCTGAAGTACGAACGCGAGGTTCGTCTGAAGTACGAACGCGAGGTTCGTCTGAAGTACGAACGCGAGGTTCGTCTGAAGTACGAACGCGAGGTTCGTCTGAAGTACGAACGCGAGGTTCGTCTGAAGTACGAACGCGAGGTTCGTCTGAAGTACGAACGCGAGGTTCGTCTGAAGTACGAACGCGAGGTTCGTCTGAAGTACGAACGCGAGGTTCGTCTGAAGTACGAACGCGAGGTTCGTCTGAAGTACGAACGCGAGGTTCGTCTGAAGTACGAACGCGAGGTTCGTCTGAAGTACGAACGCGAGGTTCGTCTGAAGTACGAACGCGAGGTTCGTCTGAAGTACGAACGCGAGGTTCGTCTGAAGTACGAACGCGAGGTTCGTCTGAAGTACGAACGCGAGGTTCGTCTGAAGTACGAACGCGAGGTTCGTCTGAAGTACGAACGCGAGGTTCGTCTGAAGTACGAACGCGAGGTTCGTCTGAAGTACGAACGCGAGGTTCGTCTGAAGTACGAACGCGAGGTTCGTCTGAAGTACGAACGCGAGGTTCGTCTGAAGAACGAACGCGAGGTTCGTTAAAAAATTGAGCTTGACGCTCACCTGAGTTGAACGCGAGGTTCACCTTAGAACGAACGCGAGGTTCGTTAAAAATTGAGCTTGACGCTCACCTGAGTTGAACGCGAGGTTCACCTTAGAACGAACGCGAGGTTCGTTAAAATTGAGCTTAACGCTCACCTGAGTTGAACGCGAGGTTCACCTTAGAACGAACGCGAGGTTCGTTAAAATTGAGCTTGACGCTCACCTGAGTTGAACGCGAGGTTCACCTTGGGAACGAACGCGAGGTTCGTTAAAATTGAGCTTGACGCTCACCTGAGTTGAACGCGAGGTTCACCTTAGAACGAACGCGAGGTTCGTTAAAAGCGAAGCTCGGTTAAAATTGAACGAACGCGAGGTTCGTTTGAGGTAACCACCTCCTTAATTTTCGCCATGAACCCTTAGGGTTTCAAATTGAAACCGCCGCCGACAAACCCAAAAAACCTTTGATTTTTCTTTTCAAAACAGATCCAGAATTGGATAAAATTGAAGGAAAAATCAAAGAAAAATCCAAAAAATTCCCAAAAGGTACTGTTCACCGGCGATTTTTCAGTTACTGTTCATCCGGAAAAAATACTTTACTTTTCATCCGAAAAAAAAATTTCGTTACTGTTCATCCGAACCCAAAAATTGAATCTTTAACCAGAGATTTAAGATCAAAAACCCAATAAAACTTAAATCCCTAAGAATTAATCAAGGTGGCTCTGATACCACTTGTTAGATCTACATCAAAACTTGAGATCTAAAACCATATAGCCATGATTAATTCAAAGAGATTAACAATAATCAAAAGAGCGGAAGCTTATACCTGAATCCATGGATGAAATCTTGATTTGGGTTTTTGATGATCTTCTAACCTTAGGGTTCCTCTAAAATCCGAATTTCTCTCTTAGATGGGGGTGAAGAGAATTAGAGAATGTAACCATAGGTTAGGGACCATAACCCCTTATTTATAGATGTTGTACTTTTGTAATTTAGCCCCTCAATAAATTACAATTACAACCTGGTATCTGCACATATGACCCCATGATCATTTAAATACCAAATTAACCCAACTTAATTGATCACTTTAGTGGGTTATCCTGAAAGATAGCAATACACATTGATTAATCATATGTGCCCACAAATAGATTTATTAGATTAAATCCAACATAATATACCAGCATCCTGGTTAATTACTGAAAATCCATGAGATAACTTCCATGTTTTTGTGCAAACCTATCCATTAATTAATTTTCTAGCATGCATAGAAGGGACAAATTTTCAAAAGCAACCCATTTGATAAACTAATTGCAAAAAACGACCCATTTGGGATTTATTTAGAGAAACCGACCTGGTTTCAGCACTGTCGCTGAAACCAGGTCGGTTTTTCTAAAAAACTTTACGAAACTTCACGGGAGTTCAACTCCCGTGAAGTTTTTTCACATAACAAAACTTCACGGGAGTTGAACTCCCGTGAAGTTTCGTAAAGTTCGACCTGGTTTCAGCGCTGAGGCTGAAACCAGGTCGGTTTTTACAAATAAAACTGAAATGGGTCTTTTTTTGGGAATAGTTTATCAAATGGGTTGGTTTTGAAAATTTGTCCTGCATAGAAGTGTATAATTGTCATCTTCCTTCACATATTTGGTACCTTAATTATATGCTAGAGCCTTGGAGGTATCGAAGTATACACCCATATGTACACGATATAACACAATAATGCATTCATCAATTTAATAATAGAAGGGATAAGTTGCCATCTTCAGCCCCGAGCTCAGGACTTCATTGTTGTCTTCTCCATGATGTATACCTAGCAAATAAAGTAGGGTTAATTGCGGATAGAACCCCTTTAGTATT